CTTCCTATTTCACCCACTTCATTCCCTCTTCTTCCTACTTTGTGGTAACCAGGTCTGCCAGGTGGCTGCAGGGCATAAATTCTTTGTATTCAGGTGTTTTCCCCACACCTTTTCCAGGAAAACTTAGAGGTGAACCTAAAACCTCTGAGCTGTTTCAAGTGATTAAATAATGCATCATTTTTATTCTTACTCGGTTTGAGCTTTGCTGCTTTGCTCTCTGCAGGGGCAGAGTTGTCTTCAGCCTTGTCCTTTGCCAGTTAAAGAAGATTGAGGCACAGAATATATATGTATTGCCTCATTCAAATTCCAATCTGCAAAACCCAGTCATTTGTCCTGAGTGCATTCAGTGTGCTGCAGGGACAGATAATGTGTCTGTAACAACAGGAGAGGGGATGAAAAAAGCCCCAGACATACTTGTTTTAAGAGCCTTTGTGTGTCACCAAAAAGGCTCTGTATTTCCTGTTGCTATTTTCTGTGTCTGGGCTGTTGATGTGTCACCACACAAGGGCTGGTGATTGAGGGGATCTGAACCTCGTGGATAAATCAGTGGGAATAAAAAATAGTTCTGACTGGATATAAGGAAACTTTCTCACCATTTGGATACTAATCCAGTAAACCAGGCTGCCCAGACAGGCTGCTCAGTCTCTCCCTTGGAGGTCTCTAAGATCCAACTGCAGCCCTGAGCGCTGTGATCTGATTCTGTTGCTGGTCCTGCTTGGAGCAGGAGGTTGGGCTGGGACTTCCCAAGGTCCCCTGCAGCTGGAGTCGTTCTGGTGGTCTCTGTCAGCAGGAAATCCCTCCTTGCTGCCCATTTCCCTCAGCTGTTTGCAAAGGGATTGTTCTGATTATTCCTTTGGGCAGATTTACACCCAGGGGAGGCTGCAAAATGTATGAGGCAGGGAAGGATTTCCACCTGGGCAGAGATCTGTCTGCCCCTAAAGCAGCAGTGATCTCTAGTACCCTGAAAGGCCTTGGGAGTCCCCCCTGAGGGGGCAGGTTGGTTCAGATTTTGTGTTAATTGGTTTTTGAAATCGTGTTAATTTGCCACTGTAATTCCACAGTGTAAGCTGCCACTTTGTTGGGGTAAAATTCGCTTGTAGAGTCCCTGCATGGGAAGTGGTGCTGGACCCACATCCAGTGCTGTGTGTTGGAAGAGCATGTGCAGCTTTCCAGTCCATCACCCCCCTGGATCTGCTGCCCTGTCACATCTGGGAAGCCCTGGAGCACACAGAAGTGCCAAGCCCAAAACAGAAAAACATCTCTGACTGTCACAGTCTTGGTTCTGCTGAGCTGATATAAAATCACACCTGTTAAAACAGTGTGATGTGTGGGGAGTGGTGTCTGTGTTGAAGGTGGAAGCTGGCCAGGCCAAAAAATGCAGCTTTGATGATCACAGGCATTTCAAAACCTTTAAAAAATTAAGTGATAAATTGTGTTTACTTTCTAGATTTTTGATCTGCCATCCCTCCTGCCCTCTCTTTGAAGATCTCACTTGTTAAGGACAGTAACCAGTAGCTCACTGCTGCTGTCCTGGTTCTGACTAGTTCAGGGCTGCCCTTTTAAAACAGTTTTTGTTGCTGCAGGTTTTAATAAGGTTTTGCAGGGTGTAGCCTGGCTGTGGGAAGGGATGATGGACAGGCTCCCTTGGGCTGACAGTGGCATTTGACTGACCATGCATCAAGTTATTCAGGAATCTAAACCGGCAGAAAATCAACATTTTTCCTGCCATCCAGTCCCTGGGCTGGTTTGTGATGAGATCAGCTGAGGTACTGGCAGCAGCACAAGTGAGAGGCTGGAGGAAAGGAGGAGAAGGGCTCATCTGTGTGATGAAACATTCTTTTAGCCTTCATTTCTCTTGTACTCCAAGTTCATCAGCCCCACCTTCCTAGCCCTGCTGTTTTCCCCACAACTCAGCACCCCACCCTCCCTTGTGCCAGTCAGGAGTTTGGGCAGACACACACTGAGCTGGAGGGGAGAATTTGCCTGCCTTAGCTTTGTTTTGATGGATTAGTTTCCACCAGGTTGCTTTTGTGTCACTGCACAGGTGCTGCAGCAGGGCAGGAGTGGCAGGAGCAGGGAGCAGAGCAGGGAGGCTGCTGATTTGTCTGAATTGGCATTGCCAGCTTCAGCTGTCCTAATGTGTGCCAGGAATGACAGTATCAGGCAATGACTGCATCTGTGCCCGTTATTTCACTGCTCTGTGAACATTCTAAATGTGCTTTCTGGGTTCGTGAATTTGTCCCCATGACATTTGGGAAGTGTCCTTTTCTTGAGACTGGCTGGGAGGAAGAGGGAGGGAAAGAAGAGAGCAACTGTGAGGCTCAATCAGGAAATGCTGTGACCCACTGGTACAGAGGGAGGCCTTGGAATGGACATGTCTGTGGAGACCAAAGGAGACACTGGTAGTGGTTACCCTTCTTGTCAGTGGAACTGAGCTGTGCAGGTGTGTGGCTGCTGGGTTGTGCAATCACAGAATCCCAGAACAGTTTGGGTTGGAAGGGACAGTAAAGCTCATCTCATCCCACCCCCTGCCATGGGCAGGGACACCTTCCATGAATCCAAGTTGTTCCAGGCCCCACTCAGCCTGGCCTTGAAAGGAGGTCACCTGTACCAGGGTCAGCAGCCTGGATCAAGGAGGCAGGAACCTTTATTGGCCCACTTCCCAAAATCACACCATCCTCAGCATCCTTGCACCTTCCCTCTCCTTTAATCTTTGGCCCCACTCTTCTGTCCTCACTGTCATTTGTCCCTTTACAAAGGAACCACTGAAGAACAGTTTCCTCAATAGAATGTCTCAACATGCTTGTGTCTTTTCCTTCCTTGTTCCTGCAGATGGAATTAGCTCCTCCTTGCAGAATGTTTTCCCATCAGTTTGGAGGTTTCAGTAATTTATGTTGGTGTGGGTTGTGCTGGAGTGTCTCATTCCGTGTGATGGGGAGTCCTGACCTGGCCACCCTGGGCACTGTCACACCTGCTGAGTTTTGCAGGGTTATTCCTAGGTCCAAAGGATTCACTAGCAGCATTTCCAGCATCCATGGATGTCTCTATTAGCACTGGAGAGTTTGCAGAGCAGACAATTTGTGTGGTTGTCCAAAGCAGATTTTGGGATCAGAGTTTATTCCCCTGAGAGAGGCACCGAGCTGGTTTCTCACCAGGTACAGGTGACATCTCACTTCTTCTCACCACCTGTAAACATCCTCTGCAGGCTTTTCCAGCATGAATTTCAACCCCCAAGACAGATATTTATGCCAAGTTCTGCTGTCTCATGCCAGTCTGTCCCCAGACCTCTGTTTCCAGCAACTTCCTCGTGTGCTGGATGGGCCTTGGAGGTTCCTTTCCCATCTCCTGTGCCATTGCCAGATGTATGGAAACACATTTCCACCTGAAAGTGTTAAAAAAAAAGGTTATGCTCCATTCAACCCCTTCCAGATGCTCTTCTCACTTTCCTGCGTCTGTCACATGGATATTTTAGATGAGTCCATGTTCCCTTTCCTGTCCTGTAAATGTGAAGGTGTGATCATGTCAAAGCAACCGGTGTTTTTAATTATGTTTTGCATAGAAAAGTCAAAAGCTCAGAAAAAATCTTACTTCACACTTAATTAGCTTTCCTTTGCCTGACTGGAATTGAAGAGACTAAAATTAGGAAAATTTGTGGCTAAATCTTCAATCAGCTCTTGCCACCTGTTCAGTATTGTAGGTTTTATCTTCACTTAATTCTGTGCATTCGGATCTTACCTACTGTATCATGTTTAGTTTGCTATTCAAAATTCAAATTTAAGCTAGATGTCATTAAAAATGCATTTTTCTGTCGGATGCTGCAATTGGAATAGTGAACCTTAGTTCCTAACCTGGCATCTTTGCTAGGTTTTAGTCCTAACTGGATGGAGAACTTCCTGAATTCAGGAAAACACCTCCCTGCAGTTGTGGTGTTCAGGAATCACATAATCCCTTTAGCCTACCTGGTCTGTGATGTTCTGCAAGTTCTTGCAGACCAGAAAACTAGAATTGTTCTCATCAGTTGCTGTCTGCAGAGCCAGCCACGATTCCTCACTGCTCCATTATTCTGGAATGAGAAAGTCTGTCTTGCTGCCACTGCCTCCCTGCCACCAGATCCTGTTTCCTTCTGAGGCAGACTTTTAGTAGGGCCTGTAGTGGTAGGGCAGGGGGTGATAGTTTTAAATTAAAAGAGGGAAGGCTTAGATTAGATATAAAAGTGGTTTACAGTGAGGGTGGGCAGGCCCTGGCACAGGTTGCCCAGAGAAGCTGTGGCTGCCCCATCCCTGGAAGTGTCCAAGGCCAGGTTGGACAATGCTTGGAACAACCTGGGCTGGTGGAAGGTGTCCCTGCCCGTGGATGGATGCACTTTAAGGTCCCTTCCAGCCAAACCAGTGTCTGATTTGATGATTTTCTAGTGTCATTGTCCTTCATTTGAATGGTTCTCCTTTGCACCTAAATCCTGCAGTAGGGTATAATACATGGCTGTACTTTTCCAGCTTGTTGAAAGGGTTATTTGCTCCAGTTTTGTTTGCATGCTTGGAAATGTGTGAATTCATTCTGGTTTGGATGTGTGTTAGGAAGCTGCAGTCATTTCACAAACCACTTCTGGTTTTTGATGGAGTATAGGCTGAAAACAGGTACCAAAGCCTGCTTTCCAAAGAAAGCCACCTCCCTGCTGTAACAGCAGTCCTTTTCTGTGGGATAAAGACAAATGAACTCATTTTCCATGCAATAAGTGATGGTTCACCCACAGTGGGAAATGTATAGTTGTCTTTCAGTGCTTTATTTGACCTGGGTACACACTTTATATCCTGACCCTCCCAGTCAAAGCAGGAGCTCCCATGTTTCAAACAAGACCTTTTTAACATAAAATATATTCAGTGCTGACATTTTCTAGTCTCCTTCTACCTGGGAGTGCCCTTAACTGTTGTTGTGGGATCATCCAGTTGGCTGCTTGAGTGTGGCAGCTTTTCCAATCCAGTTGTTTTTTTTTCCTCTTGCAGGAAGCAGCAAACATGCTACGACTTACCCAGAACAGGCTGAAGGAAGAGGAGCAACACCTGCTAAAGAGTGAAGGTGAGTGGGATTTCTGCACCTCTGGTGGTAGCAGAGAAGTTTGGTTGGTTTTTTTTTCCCCCAAAACTTACTCTCAATTAGTTAGGATTCTAGCTGAGGATCAGAAGGGAGCAACAAACTCTTGAGATTCTGTAGAAAGCTCACAAACAAGATTTTGCTCTTTTCGAGCTAAACATCAGCAAAAGCTTCCTCATTAATTTCCCCTGTGAATTTAATATTGCAATCTGTGCACTTTTATTTGATAGTGGGAGAAACAGGAAGGAAAGTTAATTGTCAGGATCAGAGGTAGAGTTCACAAAAGCTGAAGTGGAGTAAAGACATTAAAGTTGCCCTTCACAGTTTGCTTGGTGGCTGAGATTTTCAGAGCAGGCTTATGAAAGAGGATTTTCACTCATTTTTACCCATCTTTGATCTCATATCAGTGAGGTAAAAGGTGAAGACATTTCAGCTGAAATATAGGATTTGTAATATAAATTACAAGAATGTGAAATTGTTTCAAGGATTTACTTGAGTGAAAAGGTTCAGGTCCTGCTGTCAAGATAGTTTCCAAGGTGAGTGAGTTTAAACATCAATCCTCAGTAATTGGCAGTGTGAAGTATAAAGTGAAAATTTGCTGACCTCCTTTCTCCTTGTCTGTGGATTTTACTTGGAAAACTATTCTGTCATTTTGCAGCTCTGGAATAAAAGGAACTTTACCTTTTAGTGAGTGATTTAACTGCCACCCTAAGAACGTGATTATGGCTTTTAATGAGCTAAAAATATTACAACAACACATCTTTATTCAGGTACTTAATTGTCATAATTAGTATTCATTTCAGTGATAAAGAGCACCAGGAACCTGTTTTCCAGAGCTGGCTCATTTATTGACTGCCCCATGACCTGGGACAATCGAAGTCATCTCTGTCAGCTCCAGCCCTGCCTTGCTCTGCACAGGCTGTGGAAGTTTGCAGGGTTGTAAACTGAGACAGTAAATTTGGCTCTTGCTGTTTCCCAGTCATGAGCACGGAGGTGAATTTGTGGAAGGCTTTAAAGCTCCCTGAGACCACATAGAGCAATCAGGTGTGTAAGGTAAGACACACAGGTACCCCCAGAAATGCCAGGGCAGTGGAAAGAATTCAGAAAGTTTCTTCAGAAGGCCAGAACACTCACAAATGGCCTCAACAGGGCGGTTTGGGCACCAGGGAGGAAAAGGCCCCTCCTGTTTTCTCCTTTGGAGTTTTATTATCTCTGCTTCCCCCTGCCTCCCCTCTGGAATGGGAAGGCCAGTGGCACCTGCTCTCTGCTCACAAATCACAGGTGAGCTTCTGGAATGTGAGGAGGGAGAGAACAGCACTGTTTTGAGAAAGATGCAAGGGAAGCTCTTCCTAAGCAAAATAACTGACTCCAGGGTAAAAAAATCTTCCATAAGAAGAGTTGCTTACTCCTTCAGGGTACCAGGCTGGGCTTTCCCATTAGACCACACCCCACTCTCCTTTCTTTATTAGTTAAATAATACCCTTTATACAATTCAAACCCCAGAGATTTCCTTTGGTAAGAGATCAGTGTCTTAAGTGGCACGGTGTCCCACAGGGACATGTCCTGTAGAGATGTGTTTACAGAAGAGCTGTGTGAATCCCAGGCTCCTAACCACAAGAGAAATACATCTTTTGCACAAGACAGAGAGCAGCAGAACCATTGCAGCATCACTGAGCAGCTTTGCTTGTCCAGCCTCTCCCAAGGTGAATAGTGCAATTTGCTCCAAAAGGAGGAAGCAGGAAAACAGGATGGCATTTCTGCTGGAGAGGATTCACAAGAGACCTCCAGCTTAACCTGGCAGTGATTTTGTCAAGAGGGCTGTGAGCATGGGGGGAGGTGGTGGGAAGTGCTACATGCATGGCCACTTCAACCTTCTTTCTGTTGTGTTTGGATTTGGAGTGCTACATCCTCCTCCTCAGACAGGATGTGCCCTTCTAACAAGCCAGTCACAGGGAATGCTAAAAAAGGGCTTTTCTTCACTGTCAGAAACATCTTTCTAAAGCAGGTTTAGGGAGGGGAAATTACTTCACAGAATCATAGAGTCACAGACTGGTTTGGGTTGGAAGAGACCTTAAAGCCCATCTCATTCCACCCCCTGCCATGGGCAGGGACACCTTCCACCAGCCCAGGTTGCTCCAAGCCCTGTCCAACCTGGCCTTGGACACTTCCAGGGATCCAGGGGCAGCCACAGCTTCTCTGGGCAACCTGTGCCAGGGCCTCCCCACGCTCACAGTCAAGAATTCCTTCTCAATATCTTGTCAAAATTGACCTTTCTTCAGTTTTAAACCATCACCCCTTGTCCTGTTGCAGCAGACCCTGCTGGATACTTCATTATTCCACTCAGAGTTTTGAGTAATGCCTCCCATGTGAAGCAAAGTGCTTTTATCCTGAATTTTCTTCTAGTTTGTTGAGAAACTTGGGACTTTTCTGTCTGGGCCTTCAGCCCAAGAAAGACTTTGTGCCTGTTCACAGGACAGTTGAAGTGGACCCTGCTCTGACTTGGTCTTGCTCATGCAATGGGTTCTGGAGATGGAGGGATGAGCATCTGCTCTGCTCAGTGGAAGGTGGGCAGGCTGGTTTGGTGTCTCCCAATATCCTAAGATTCTCTGGCTGAATCTTGGCCCAGGGGGGTGAAATGAATTTCATGTGCACTAATTCACTGATTTCCTACACAGAGGGGTAGCACAGGCCAGCAGCACCTTCTGCAGGGGAAAGGGAAGCTTTTCTCCCTCTCATTACACTTTGCCCCTGAGAGCTGCAGAACACTTAATGAGGTTCTTCCAACAGCGCAGGCTGGCATCTGGTGATAAATTTGTTGCCATGAACTGATAAAAGTCAGTATCCATCAGCCCCTTAAGAACTCTTACCTTTGCCTACCTGTGAATTGCTGCAGTTGTTGTTTGTCTGCAGCCCCTGACCTTACCTCCTGCTAATTTGGTGGGAAGGGTTCCAAAGCACCAGTTCATTTCTCTGTGCAATAAAGTTGCAGGAATCCTGGAAGCTCTCTGTCTGAGGTTCAGGCTGAACTAACAGCAGAGAAGCCTGAATCATGTTTCTCACCTAGAAGAGCTGTGGAATGGAGGTTGAGCCATGCAGGTCTGTGTTAAGGATATAAAATTTTCTGTGGCATCACAGAAAATTGGCAAAAAAATGTTTAGGATAATTGATAAACAACCTGGTTCTTTTTTTTAATTTGTGCTAGCATGCACTGCAAAGCTTTTATTTCTGACAGAGCCAACACTAAATTATAGGAAAAATATGAAAATGACATAAAGATTTTGAACTCTAAAAACAGAGCAAGCTTTGAGTATTATCTGCATGATGAAAACATACACAATTAAGTATTTGCAGCAGTATAGAGAAATCTTTTGTGCTGAGCAGTGAGGAAATTGCTGTTATTTTTCTAATCTTTGCCTCACAGAATATTCTCTCAGAGGAACTGATAGAGGCTGTGGTGTCTCACACACCTGATGCCTGTGTGTGCCACATGCAGGGCTGGTGCCAGATAAAAAATCCAACTGCCTGAAACCCAGGGCTTGGTTTCCTTGTGGTTAATGGCAAAGTGATTCTTCAGACATTGTATGAGACACTGCTTGGGTGAGCTCTGTGAAGGGTGGGGACAGAAGCACATCAGGTGTGGTTACTGGATGTTCTGACACCAGACGGTGTGAGAGAAGGGGGCAAGGAAGGTCCCTGACCACAGCAAAACTTCAGGAGGTTTTCTCACGCTCACCCATGTTTGTTGAGCAAAAAGGAACGAGTGTGAATGTTTCTAGACTGAAATACAGTTTTCCAGACTAATCAAATTGTTACATTTACAGATATTTTTTTCTCACTTTTTACACGTTTTCACATGCATTTTCTCATAGTCTTTAAGAGATTTGGGGTTTTTTTCCAATTTAAAAGCAGACAGTGTAGAATCACAGGATCCCAGAATGGTTTGAGTTGGAAGGGACCTTAAAGCTCATCCCATTCCACCCCCTGCCATGAGCAGGGACACCTTCCACCAGCCCAGGTTGCTCCAAGCCCTGTCCAACCTGGCCTTGGACACTTCCAGGGCTGGGGCAGCCACAGCTTCTCTGGGCACCCTGTGCCAGGGCCTGCCTCACCCTCACAGGGAAGAATTTCTTCCCAATATCCCATCTAACCCTGCCCTCTGGCAGTGGGAAGCCATTCCCCCCTTGTCCTGCCCCTCCAGGCCCTTGTGCAAAATTCCTCTCCAACTCTCTGGTTTTTAAATAAGTAAAACATTTTGTTTTGAAAATATTAAGTATTTTTCTACTTCAGTCTCGTTCAGCCATAGCCACAGGATCAACTGATGCTCTTGAGTCCACCCTTTCTACTCCAGAACTGGTGCTTTAAAATCTGACAGCAGGAATCAAAAAGCCCCACTGCAGCAATGGTGGGATTTGAGCTGTGGATCATGGGGTAATTCCTGGATGATGTTGCTGATGCTCAGCATTGTCACTGCAGGATGCTCAGATCATCCATCTTCCCGTAACAGGCACTTGGAACTCGTCCAGGGGAGTCTTGTGTTGTGCTTGTTAGATAATTACCAATTCATGCTCTAATTTAATAGTACTTTGATGGGTTCTTGGCTTGTAAGATCATTAGAAATATTATGGTCACCAAATATGACCTCTCGATAAAATTGGTCAAAAAAGAACTCCTTATTCCTGTGCCAGGATTGCACATCCCAGTTTAAATGGAGCCTGTCATCAAGAGTTGATTTTAATTATTTCAAGTGAGAGAGCTCTGTTGCTTCTCCGGGCAGTGGTTAATCACCCTTACTGGAATGGGATAGGCCAGGTTGGACGGGGCTTGGAGCAACCTGGGCTCATGGGAGGTGTCCCTGCCCATGGCAGGGAGCTGGAATGAGATGAGCTTCAAGGTCCCTTCCAACCCAAACCATTCTGGGATCCTGTGATTTTGAAATGGCCAAGCAAGGTCAATAATTTCACTTGGACCTTCCTCTGCAACCTCCTGGTTGCTGTTTGTGGCCCTTACTACCCAGTTTTTCCAAACACAGGTGTGAACATCCAGCCTTTCCACACCTCTGTCAGGAGCTCTCAGGACCAGGATGACTTTATTTCTTAGAGATCAGATGACACATCTCGGTTCTGTGTGCCAAGGACAAAGGATGTACCTCCTGACTGTGTCTTTCCCTTCAGATTGCAGGGCTGTGGGGGTGTGAGCGTGCAGGCTGACACAGAGCCTGAAGCTCTTGAGTTTGGTTGGGACAAGAGTATGGATTTGGTAGAACTGAGGCTTTCAAGTGGGTGCTGAGCTTCATTCTCTCATTAAAAATCCCAATCCACCCCCATTGTTTTTTCCTGTTCCGTTACTTGATGCCATTTATTAACTGGGGTTCGTTTTGGATCAAGTGGCTGTCAGTTGCCCACTGGATTTTTCTCACCAAAATGAAGATCCTGCTGAATGCAGTAATTGCTGCTGAGCCAGTTGCCTGTGTTTTCAAAGCAGGGATTTTTATTATCAAATTGAACATGCTGAAGAGCAACTGACATCTAATTCCAAAGCATATCAATAAACAATGTCATCTGTGCTCATTATCTTCACCACAGCAGCTTTTTATTTTGCAGCTGGATACATTTACTTGAGTATTGATGCAAACTACCAGATCTGTCATGAAATCACTGCTGAGTCATTAAATCATGCTGGTTTTTCTTCAAGTGTGGCAAATGACCAAAAATTAAATCATTTAAATATAGTATTATCCGTCCAGGTTATCAGCTCTGGCTTTTGGTGGAAGCAGCAGGGTGTGCTTTGGAACAAATAACCCCCTTTGGAGAGAGGTGCTTTGCAGTGGAACCAGGATGTACTTTTTGTCCCTGGACAGCTTTAAAGGAAACTAATTGAGCTGACTGAACCCCATTCTTATGAGATAGAAATGAAAGGCAAGTGGGGTTTATAATCCCAGTGTATTCTCTCTCAGGTGGGCTGATACTTTGAGAGTGTTCTCTGAGCAGTAGAGTCAATCACAGCAGTGGGGACATGGGCCAAACACAATTTACAGAGCTGTTCTGCTGATTACCTTTTCATAATAAAAATACAGGAGCTTCTTGAAAGCCCAGCCTGAAGCTTCTGCAGGCGACCAGCTTGGACTAAATTCGGGTTACATGGATTGCTGAATAATAATAATAATAAATAAGTTTGTTGTGAAAATTCAAATAATCCTCCTTAAAGCCATGTAAATCTTACAAGCCAGCTCCACTGGAGGGGGTTTTGCACTCCATGTGCCAGCACACGGCAGTTTGTGGTAGTGTGTTTTATTATCTTCATTGCTGTATGTTGATCCTAAGAAAAATCTGTGTTTTCTCCATAAGGAATGTTTCCTTGTCTCCCCAGAAATGGTTGTAGGTTCTGTGTGCAGTGTTACACTGAGGAGATTGTGGCTTCTTCTAGGGCAACAAGTAGGGAAGTTCATGCTCAGGAGATCCCAGCAAGGAGAAAAAAGCTCTGGCCAGTTGGGCTGCCTAACAGGAGCACAAATGACAAAGCCTGGAAGGGAGAAATTGCTCCTAAAAATAGAAAAAAAGAAAGAAACCACAAAAAACCCAAGAATGAGGGCACTTTAGTAGCAGTAAGAGCCATCACAGGTGTAATAAACTCATTTTTTCATATAGAGAGCATGAACTTGAATCCTCATGGCTCTTCCCAGGGAGTTTGCCTGTGCAAGGGCTGAACAAAACCTCATTTTCTTAAATGCCAGGTAAACAGAAGCAGCATTGAGGTCACATAGCAGTGAGTGATTGCCTCACTTGCCAAAAAATAAAGTGCAACACGAATAGAAATTGTAGCTGAGACTGCTGGAGCCTTGTAATCTTACCAGGCTATCAAACACTTCCCTTGCCGTTATTATTTTGTCATTAACTTAATACTGAATATGAAAAAGATGATGGAAAAATGTCTAATATTTGTGTATTGCCTGCTAATTAAATATTGCAAAGATGTGTCAGCTCATTACTAATCCTAATTAAAGTAGTTATTTCCATTTTCTTCTCAGACATGTGTGTAATTAAATGTACCTGGGAAAGAATTGCCTGTTTTCTCTTAACTAATCAGCAGCAAATGTTGCTGTGCTGGGTCCTCCCGTGGGATGCTGTTGGGTTTGTGCTGGTACTGGTGATTCCCATGAGCTCCTGCAGCTCTGGGGTGTAGGATCAGCTGGTGTGGAGGGACTTTGTCAGGGCAGAGTTAGGTTGGATCTCAGGGAAAGGTTCTTCCCCCAGAGGGTGGTTGGCACTGAACAGGCTCCCCAGGGCAGTGGGCACAGCCCCAAGGCTGCCAGAGCTCCAGAGAGGGCTTGGCCAGCGCTCTGAGGGACAGCCTGGGGTTGTTGGGGTGGTGTTGGTGGTTCCTGTGGGCCCCTTCCAGCTCAGGATATTCCATGATCTCCACAGGAGTGAGGACAGTTCAAGATATGGGAGGAGATGAAGGTCCAGCACGTTGGTTGAGTGAGTGAAGGGTAAATCACAAGTGGCAGTCACTGGACTGGGTGAGCCAGGAGCTTGCACAAGCAGGCTGGAATGAGCTAGGAGAGAGGGAAGAAGCTCATGGATAGAAGATTTCAGTGGAGCAGAGCCTGCTTTCCCCACATTTCCTGCACCAACCTGCCATCCACTGTTTAACTGCAGAACAGGCTCTGAGGAGGATCAGTCTGGTTGGCATCAGGGTGGGACTGACCTGGAGAACAGTCTTGCCCTTGTCCTTGCAGGCACTTCTAAGTGTCTGAAAACTTTTGCCATCTTTTGAAACTTCTGAAGGACAATTTAATCCAATTCCTTTAGATTGGTTCCAGTTTGGTGACTGGGGAGCTGGGACTGAGGGACTAAATAGGCATTACTTGGGATAGGGAGAAGGAAACAAAGGCAGGTGATGGAAATATTTGAAGTCCCTGCATCTTGGGAAGCTTTCCTGTCTTTCCAGGAGAAGCTTTCCTGCCTCTCCATCTGGGTTTTGGCTTTAGCTGCATTCAGATATCTGGGGATGTCTCACTGTGCTTTTCTAACCTGTGATTAAATGAAAGGCAGAGACTCAGTTTTGATATTGTTTGTGTCAGGGTAAAGACCAGGAGATGTGTTAATGAGCCCACACTTCTCAAAAACTTTTAAAAGAGTTTTATCTTTAAATGAGTTGCTGAAATAACCCCTTCTGACTGTACATTCATACCCAGAGGGGGTATTTAAACAGCACATTTATGGTACAACCTGGGATTGTCCCAAGACAGTTGTTTGTAGCGTGTGCTGCTTTGGCACTTACATGCAGAAGGATTTCTCCTCAGGATGTGGATATTGGCTATTTTCCTGTACTCTTCAGTAGAGCCAATGCTCTCTGCAGCTGCATTTTTCATAATTGCTGGGCTTGAACAAAGGTAGAGACTGCTGGTACCTCCTGCTGGTACCTCCTGTGTCCAGCTGCTGCTCTGAGTCACGGGCTGGTTGGAGTGCTGATAACCAGCTGGGTTTGTTTTTAACCAGGTCACGACGATTCTGACATCGACATTCGGGAGGATGAAGGGTCTGACAGTGACCTGGATGGGCAGCTCACCAAGCAGCACCCCAGCACAGAAGCTCTGCTGCAAGGTACCCTAACCCTTCCTTCCTTGCCTTTAGTCAGAAGGATAGGCTGGAATTACCCGAGTAACTTCAGGGGTGGGAAGAGCCTGTTGGAGCTCAGGATGTTGGCACCTCTCAGGAGCTGTAGGAGGAGAAAGCCTTGTGGAGAAAACAGTGTTTTGAGGGGAGCAAATTATGGATTATTTACTGGGGGAAAACAATTACTGTGTGAGAAAAAAACCTGCCTTGGTATTGTCTTAGAGATTATTGAAGTAGCTTTATACAAAGCCTTAGGAAAGCAATGCCATTGCTCATTGCAGAGCATTTATTTCCCTTCAGCTGTTGGCACTTTTTCTGGCAGAGTTTTTTCCAAAAGGAGACCTTCAGGGAGTCCATAAAGCCACCTGCACTGATGTGGGCACAGGTGGAACACACCTGAGCTGCTGCTGTCAGGGAAGGATGTCTGGCTTCTCTCCTAGCTCTTGTGGGGTGGAATTGCAGCCTCTGGCTGCTGATCCCACTGGAGCCCTGCTCAGAAGAGTTACAGGTCCCAGAAGGCCCTGGTCTTAGAGGAGTTACTGTGTGAGGGCCTGTGTTTCACTGATGTGGGAAGGGAATTGTTCTGCTTAGTCTGGAGTCAAGCAAAGTGCACCCAGGAAATCAGGTTGGTGCTCTGTGAGGGATTCTGAGCTGCCAGCAAAAGCCCCTCTGGGATCTACAGGAAGCCCCTGTGTAGGGATTTCATGTGCCACCACTTCTGCTGAAACCTATTCCTTAGAATAAACTTGCAAAAATATATGGAATTTTTCTGAGTGGAATTCTTCTCTCCCCTCTCCGAGACCAGAGAAAGAGGCTGCCATTCCCAAGTCAATGCAATTCAAGCATTGTTTCTCCTCCTTTCCACAGTTTTTCACAAAAACAGAGAATTCTTGATAAGTGCTAGAAACACCAGCATTCCCTAAGGATTTTTACGTTGCCATTTCTCCAGGAAAGGTTTGTGCACAGATTTTAGAGCTTTGGAAGTGACTGTAACTGCCTGTGAAGCTTCAGTTCAGAGGGCACCATAACCTGGCAGTGTGGGGTACTGGCTGCAGTCAGCCAGCTTTAAGAGTAAAAAAAGCTTCATTACAAAAGTTGTAGATTTTGTGACAGGTAAGAATTTTTTTTCCTAGGAAAAGCTTTGTTATCATTAATTACACTTAATGGAGGCTTAAAATGAGCTTGTCAGACTTGTCAGTTCAAATCTATGAGATGTTTTCTCTGCTGTGCTGTTTGGATTGATTTCTGGGCTTCTCTGGGTCTCCTTCTGGTGTTTAGTAAAACTACTTCTGGCAGATAATTATCCTCTTGACTTGCTGTTGCTCTCTACAGCTCCCTGACAGGAGGGTGAAGCCAGCTGGGGGTCGGGCTCTTCTCCCAGGGAACAAGGGACAGGAGCAGAAGAAACGGCCTCAAGTTGTGCCAGGGGAGGTTTAGATGGATATTGGGAAAATTTTTGTCGTGGAAAGGGCGGTCAGAGAGTGAAACAGCTGCCCAGTGGTGGAGTCACCATTCCTGGAGGGGTTTAAAAGCTGTGTGGATGTAGCACTGGGGACATGGGCCAGTGGTGGCCTCGGCAGTGCTGGGGAACAGTTTGGTGCTCTCAGAGAGCTTTTCCAACCCAAATAACTCTGTGGTTCTTCGTTTGACTGTATAACTCTCACCAAATGAAGTGCTGGAGACACTTTAGGACCTGAGACTAATGTGAGATGCAGCAGCTTCTTTAGGAAATCAGGGCTGAACTTCTCTGGCTGTTTGTCATTAAACACACCAAGAATCTGTTTGTGTTCTTCAGCACAGGTAGTTCACATTTAAAATACATTTAATTATCAAGGCAGCAGAGCAAGAACATTATTTCTGTTAATTACTGCTTTTTTCCTTGACTCAATTCAAGGTATTTTAATCACTTTCTTTGGAAGCTCTGTGTCCTCTTGCATGGTGGTTCTGCTGAGCCTCCTTTGCTCTCAAAGGAGAAAGGGTCCACAGTCCCTTCAGCTGCTGTGATACAGTTTTACCTCTCTAATTTCCAGGTTATTTGTAAGATGAGGCTTCCTCCCTCTGTCTGTAATAGGTGGGCAGGTATTCCAGTGTGCTTTGCCATTACACAGGCAAGATTCTCAGGGAGAGCTAATCCCTCTTTTTAGCCCACTTGCTATAATTGGGTAAAATCAACACACTTTCACCCTCAAGAGCCCTTTCTTTCATCAGCTTTGTCAAGATGTAGCAAAAATTCAAACTAAATGCAGCTTTGACAATATTGCTCCTGGGTTTATTCTTGTAGCCAATTAAAAGACTTGAAGTTAGAGGATTTAGTCTCCTAGGGAGCAGAAAAGAGTGTTACCTGGGGGGGACTTGCTGGGGTACAGAGAGCAAATCCAGCCCTTCTTCCCCACATTCAGAGAGGAACAGGCAGTAGCAGGGGAAGGAGGCAGCTGGAATGGGCTGTGGAGCTTCTGTCTTCCTAGAGTTCAGTGCTGCTGGGTCAACAACACAGCAAAGCCAGCTTTAGGGAGCCAGGAAGGGCTCTGTAGCAGGAGGGAGCCTGGGGGTGAGGATAACAGGGCTGGGAGGACAGAGCCAGGCTCTCAGGGACTGCTGCACTGAGCCTGTGAAACTGCACCTGTTTTGTTATCACAATAGCACAATTACAGGCAAATCTCCTCCTTGATGGGGCTTATTGTTGTAAATCCACGTGTGACTGATCATTTGCTTTTGTAACTTAGAGAATAAACTGATTTAGCACAGAATCCCAGATGGGTTTGGGTTGGAAGGACCTTAAAGCTTATCTCATTCCACCCCCTGGTGGGGCAGGGGCAGGGACAGGGACACCTTCCACTGGCCCAGGTTGCTCCAAGCCTGGCTTTGAACACCTCCAGGGCTGGGGCAGCCACAGCTTCTCTGGGCAACCTGTGCCAGAGCCTCCCCACCCTCACAAGAAACAATTCCTTCCCAATATCCCATCTAATCCTGCCCTCTGGCAGTGGGAAGCCATTGCCCCTGTGTCCTGTCCCTCCATCCCTTGTCCCCAGTCCCTCTCCAGCTCTCCTGGAGCCCCTTTAGGCCCTGGCAAGGGCTCTCAGGTCTCCCTGGAGCCTTCTCTTCTCCAGGTGAACCCCCCCAGCTCTCCCAGCCTGGCTCCAGAGCAGAGGGACTCCAGCCCTGGAGCATCTCCATGGGCTCCTCTGAACTCACTCCAGCTCCTTGTGCTTGGGAGCCCGGAGCTGGATGCAATATCATCCATTATTTCTAGTTTTAACATTGTCAGTGTGAATAAAATGTCACATCCCCTTTTATTCTGTCTGGCAGTAGATAATGTGAGGCTGGCAGACAAATGCAGTGGACTTCCCTGAGGTCCAACTGAGTTTGTGGAGGTGCTTGGAGTAAGACTCTGGTTTTGTCAGGAGGCCAAAGAAAAAGAAATTCTTTCAGCATTGAAGGTCTTATCCTGGGAATGCAGCAGAAGCTGCCCTGCTGGATCAGGCAGAGGGTCCATCCAGCCTGGTCTTCTCTCCCCACTGTCTGAAAGAAAGTGTCTGGGGAAGAGTGTAGGAACTTCCCTCAGGTTCCCTCCTGCTCTCAATCTGTTCCAACCCTCCATGGGTATTTCCTGAGCCAGATGTGGCTTCCACAGATTTAATCTAACCCTCAGCAGATTTATTTATTGTCTCCTAAGAACCTGTCCAGTCTCCCCTTGAGCTAACTGGATTTTTTTCATCCATACTATCAGAAGTGGCAGATTTTGAAGTGATGTTGTGATTATGTGTGCAGATCCATCTTTCCAGTCTCTTGGACCAGTCTGAAATGCGTTTTGGCATCGTGAGGATCTCTCCCCTTCCCAGTGGTGGTGGTGTCAGGCTGGGACACCCAAGCTGGCACACAGGGCAATGCTGTGGAATGAAGCTGGAATAGTCTACCCTTGCAGAAGTGTGGAACTGTGCCTGTCTGTAGTAAATCACCCTCTATTCCACACTGCCAAGGTCTTTCAGCTCCTGTAAACCAATTATCTGAATGCTTTAGCTCTTTTTAGTTTCCATTTATAATGTGGGTGCTAAGGGCGATTTTTGTCCTGTCCAGACCACAGAGGCCATTTCACCACTGAAACAGGAACAACTTCAGCCTTTTGGTCTTTAGTGTAAGAAGACAGCTTTGCTAAACTCTATTTTTCAGCAGGCAATCAGTCCAGAGTCCCACAGTGAGAGAGCAGCTCTGGTGCAGCCTCTTGCTCTGGCAGACCTGACCCAGGGGACCGGTGTGATAATGATGTGCTGACAAGCTGGGCTGTGAGGGCACTGACTGCCTCTGGTACCCTGGGTGCTGGGGGAAGGCTGCAAAGCCTGAATTACCCCTCTTGTTTTTCAATCCTTTGGGGAAAATGGAAGCTTTGACACAGAAGTCTTCTCAGGTGAGGCTACACAGTCCTGTTTCCAAACCACTCCATACAGCAGGCAAGCTGAAAAGCAGGATAGTGCTGTTCTCAGTGGATAGTGTCAGATTCTGCTTGTGGAAATGCTTTCTCCAGCTCGTGGCCATGTTCAGATTTCTGCCACAGAATTTCTGGACTGTTTTCCTTCCCTTTTAACTCCCCCAGGTGTGTAGGAACCACAGGTGTGAGATCGATACACAGGAGAGTGGAGGGATTCAACTGCTTCTTGTTGGATGTCTTGTTCACATTGAGTTCCTGTGGCTGTCACCTGCCTAATTTTAAAAACCACGTGGTAAATTACTAGCCTATTTTCCCCTTTCCTCTGGTTCCTAAAGGAAGTTACATCTCTGAGTCCAAGACCAAGAGATGGATGCAAGTACATTTGTCTTTACAAATACAAGATGGTAACGAATTTGCAGGTTTTCTCAAAATGTTGCACTTTTCTCTGTTGTGGAAATGAGTCTTTATATAAAAAAAACCCATAAAAATCTGAAGCCCACTGCAGCTGTGTGGGCATCACTCAGATGCTGTGTGATGCCATCCTGGTCTCTCAGATTCCTCCCCAGGGACAGCTGCCTCTTACCAGCACACAGCTCAGTGCAGGATGTCATCTCCCTTCCCAAGTCATTCCCCCAAACAGCCTGTTCAGAAACCCTTCAGAAACAGCTATCAGGTTCTGCCCACTGCTGCAGAGTGCCTGGAGCTTGTGTTTTTGGCAAAGAACAGCAGAAAATGTCTTGTTCAGAGTCGTGCCATGCTCAAGTGCCCCCAGGGAGGATTTGCCGAGGGTGCTGCCCATGTAAACTTCTGCCACAGACTCCAGTGTCCTCCTGCTGTCCCAGCAGTGCCAGCGTGGCAAGGCCTGAGTCTCAAAAACATCAGGAATCTGCAGTGGGGCTTCCAGGTCCTTTTTCAGAGGCCAAATTAGATTTGGCCAAATTAGATTTGGATATCCTCACAGCGTGGCATCAGGTGGGCAGAGGTGAGTCAGGAACAGCAGCTGTGACACAGGCTCTGCTGGGCACTGAATTTTTACCTTTCCAGTCCATCAGGGATTTGGGAATGTTGTTTGTAACCCCCAGAGCTTCTCTGAAAATCCCTGTCTGATTTCTTGGCAATTATCAAAAAGTACAGAGCAACAAAAGCATCTCCTCTGGCTGGCCCTGGCCAGCTGCTCTCTTCCTAATGGCTCCTGAGGAGCCCTGGGGTTTGCAGGCATCTCCTGGCACGTGTTTGCCATAATCCAAAGTCTGTGGAAGTGAGATGAAAGGGTCTGGGTTTCCCACATTCCATGGGGGTGGCAGAGGGAGGAGGATGAGGCACAGGGAATGGGTCTGGCTGTGCATTAGCAGGGTTGAGGTTCTCCAGCTTTGAAGGTAATACATGAAATCAAGGGGAAAAAATTCCCAATTGCACCTGCTCAGAACACCTCAGAGGACTCCCCCAAACTGATACTGCTTTTAGAGCTTAAAAATAAATTCCTTCCTTGTGAACTTCCTCAAGGGCAATTTTCCTCTGGCTGGGTCTGCATCCTCCTCACGAGGGGCAGTGGAGGGGCAGAGGGGCAGTGGAGGGGCAGCTCCGAGCTCTGAGCAGTGACAGCACCCAGGAGTGGCTGGAGCTGTGTCAGGGCAGGCTCAGGTTGGATCTCAGGGAAAGATCCTTCTCCCAGAGGGTGGTTGGCACTGAACAGGCTCCCCAGGGCAGTGGGCACAGCCCCAAGGCTGCCAGAGCTCCAGGAGTCCTTAGACAACACTCTTCAGGGGCAGGGTGGGATTGTTGGGGTGTCTGTGCAGGGCCAGGGGTTGAACTCAGTGGTCTTTGTGGGTCCCTTTGAGCTCAGGGCATTCATTCCATGATTCTGTGATTAAGAACACAGTGCCCAAAGCACACAGAGATCAGAAACTTCAGGCAGGAGGTTCATCCCCGTTTTCTCTGTGTGGAAGGGGATGTGTTGTGGAGGGAAGGGAGGAGTCTTCTCCGAGCTCCTGCTGTGAATTTGCATTAAGCGCTGGCGGCTGCAGATCAGACTGAGAGCAAAATGTTTCAGCTGCAAATCCACCCTCCTCTCCCCGTGGGCTGTGTGGACCTCACAGGCTATTCCTCTCGCTGTCAGACACAGGGTTAATGTGTACCCACTGCTCAGGGAGAAGCTGGAAATCATTCCAGTCCTGTGGCTCCATCCTAGGAAGCTGCACGGGCTGGTACAATGGCACATGTCACACAGAGGGAAAACGGCAAATGCTCCCAGGCTTCAAATCACGGATGCACATTCTGCTCTCTGGTGCTTGGTGGCTCTAAAGGGTGGTGATGCACGGAGATTGGATTTGACTGCAGAGCTGCAGTGAATTACAACCTGGTCATTACGAGCGTTTTTTCCTAATTATCACTTTGTCCAGCCTGTCCCAGCTGGATTCCCGTTATCTGTAAGCAAACACCACAGGTCCCCACCCGCTTGGAAGCTGCGACAGCCTCAGTGGCCACAGCGAGGCGGCCCTGAGGGCTCAGTGAGCCCAGCCCGGCTGAGCTGAGCTCGGGAAATCGAGTGACAACTTCCCCTGCTCTCCCTGCCCCACGCATGTGACTCCTGTGTTTCCTGCCTCTCCCCCAGTCCCCACGGAAACACGCAGTGGCCATCTGCTTGTCCGTGCTCCCACACTCAGGAACGTGGGGGTTTATGATGGGAGAAGTTAAAATAACGTGGGAAATCTGCTCTCTGTCCTCTTTGCAGCTCGGTGCTCAGGTGAAGCCCCAGCCCCTCTACATCCTGCACTCTCTCCTAGGAGTGTCCCAGGGTCTGATCCTGCTGATCCCACAGGCCCTGGTTCAGAGAGGTGCTCCTGCCTTAAACCATGTAGGGATCCAAGTCTGGGCAGCACCTGATTCTCCTGTTCCTCCAGGTGTGAGGAGTGAGATGCTCATGGGATGTCCTGGAAGAGCAGCATCCTGCAGGCCTTCTGTGAGAAATCTCTGAGCTCTTCCCGTGGCATTTTGAACTGCCCTGTTCCATCAACTCTCCTTATGTGATATCTTGATTTTCTTTTCTATTCAGGCTCTCTCTCAGCTTTGTCTTATTTTAGGAGCTCCCTGCAGCTTTCTCCTTTTGGGGTAATAATTCCCAATTTTACATTTCATACTGAGCCTTCTACAGAGCAGAACCTGTAGTTTTGCAACTCTTGGAGCCATCTGTAGGCTGGGCAAAAACAGGGCTCTGTTGTTGTCTAATGATGTCAGTTGTAATCAGCTTCAGATTTATAGGATTTAGTCTTGCATAAATTAGAGAAAAATCTCCAACGGTTGAAGACAGATCTTCTGTAAGACAGGAGAGCTATAAAATGGAATCTTACCATTCCATCTCCACTGCCCAACTGATAGAGGACACTGCTTTTTATCTAAAGACATAAAATCCTTGAGGTTTGCCTTGGCACTGCCAGGAATTCCTGTGAGATGTCAGGCCCTCCTGGAATGTCAGAAAGGACCTGAGCTTTCTAAAGGATGGGAGGCAAAAAACTTTTGTTCTCTGTGTACCAAAGCAGAGGAAGGAATATGTCAATTCACAGATTTTTTTGGGTTGGAAGGGACCCTGCTCCAAAGATCATGGAGTCCAACCCCTCTGCTCAAAAGGGAGGTTTGAGCTGGTTTTCCAGGACCACATCCAGTTGGGTTCTGAATATCTCCATGAATAACTGCACAACTTCTCTAGGCAACTTTGTTTCAGAGTTTGACTACTCTCACAGTAAAAAATGTTTCTTAATGTGTCAGAACTGTTCTAAGGTAGCTCTGCAAATACCATCCTGACTGGAATCCAGACATACCCTCTTCTACCATCTCCTGAGCTCTGAAGGCTTAACAAGGAGGGGACCTTATTTGCACTGGGATCTCATCCTCTCACTGCCATTTGACTTGTCCCTAAAGTGTAAACTCTGAGCTCCATTGTTCCTTCTGCCTCCCTGTAACCACGAGCCAGGTTTGATGGTGATTCTCTTTGCTCCTGCAGGAAGGACCGGCACACGGGTGGTGGGAACAATGCAAGGTGAAGACACGGAGGAAGATGTGAGTAACCATCCCATGTGTCTGTGGAGCTTCTCTGACAGTGCTTTACGATGCCAGCCCTCTCCTCAGCCAGAGAAACACCTTTTATTTACTGAATCCTCGTGCCCCAGGCCTGCCTTGCCCCTCCTTTCCTGTAACTGCGCTCTCATTGGCACAGACACAGATTTGCCTCTTTTTCCTTTGCTCTTGCAGCCTGTGCTCTGTGTGCTTTCCCCTCGTCCTGCAGTGCACAGCTAGTGGCACACAGGCTGCAGGAATGCTGTTTGGATGAGCTGTGGGGCAGATTGGTGGGAAGAGTGATCAGTGCAGTGCAGCAGCAGTTAGGTACATGGACATAAATCCCCTTTTGTTGCTCTAAAAGCACATGCCTTGGACGCTCTCCGTGGCCTGCACTGGCAGCATCAGCCATCAGTCATCCAGGTGATGGGACAGGGATGAGAGCAGGGCTGTGAGCTTTATTCCTTGGGATTCCTGCTGTTCCAGGGCTCCTGGCTTTGCATCTGGTTGTGGTTTACGTGGTGGGTGGACAGAGTCTAAAAGGCACGCACAGGTTTGTACAGGAGGCACTTGTTCTCTGTCTGTGCCCAGCCCTTGGCATCCATGGACAACTTTTCTGTGCCTCTGGGCACACCTGAGTGGCTACATCTGCACTAGGCAGCTGAAGCCAGGTGCTGTCATGTGGTTTGCATCCACACAGGAAGCTCTTCCATCTTCCCCAAAACCTGCTGGCATCCCAGGAGCAGTGGGGCTGTCCTGTTCTCCAAGCCCCGTCCAACCTGGCCTTGGGCACTGCCAGGGATGGGGCAGCCACAGCTTCCTTGGGCACCCTCACCTTGTCTCTGGAGTTTTACCTGCAGCCCCTGCTCTGCTCTTTGCTCCTGCTAGACTGGGTGTGGCCAAGGCTGTTGTTGCCTCCTGGGGAATGATTTATGCCTTGGCATTCGGACCGGTTTCTGGGAGAGGTCAGGAATGCCTGTGCTGTAGGTGAAGATGTCACCTTATTGTCCTTGACCATGTTCATGACAGGTTTGGATAGTCACCCTGTGTTATTTCCCTTCCCTTCAGACTTCCCTGTTCACAGCTTTCTCCCTGTTGGCACAGCTCCAGTGTGTCCAGGTGTGGAAAGCCAGAGCCTTCAGCCTCTGACTGCCCTCAGCTGCAGCCACTCAGCTGCCACTGTTTTATGGCTCTGCTCTTGGAATCAGCCTCTCAGGAGGCCCAGGGGCTGAGAGGCTCACTCAGGAACCCTCACAGGTTTCTATGTGTCCAAGATCAGGGAAGGAAACTGTTGAGGCTGATCTGAAAAGGAGATCATGGAATTATGCAGATGGGAAGAGAGCAGGCTTCAGCTGGCCCAAGAGCCTCTGTCGCTTGCTGGTGTGGTGCATGATGCCAGAGCTGTGCCTGCCTTTGCTGCCTTCTCCCCTGCTCCCACCTTGGTTATTTTCTGTTTTCTTTTATGTTCTTGTCCATTTTTTTCCCTGCTCTGCCTCTCTCGTTCCTTCCGCTCTGGTTCTCCAAGGGGACCCTTGCCCCAGCACGGCCAGGCTCGCACAAGGTCACCACCAAGGCACAGGTGGGTTCCTCTCCTCCAGTTAATTTTCTTCCACTTCACCTTGATTCTTTGGTCTCACAGTAGGTGTCACTTTAAACACCCTGCCAGGTTTTTAATGCCCCAGATCCAGCAGAAGTCAAGGAGTTCACGTTTGTCAGCTCCGTGGGGTGGGGATGGAGGTTTGCAATCAATTGAGAGGGCAGGGAGGGAGCCAGCACTGCCATCCCTTCCTTTTGGGCTGGCAAAGAGGCCTTGCCATGGGACAGCTGAAGTGGTTATGGCCTCTTGTTTCCTTTCCTTCAGGAGGACTCGGGGGATAGTGAGATTGACCTGGATGAAGATGACGATGAGGAGGATGATCTGGAAGATGACAGCATGGAAATCTCCCCAAGCAAATCCCGTCACCGAGCAAGGAAGCCAGAGCCACTGGAGCAAAGTGATAATGACTTCTGACTCTTCAGTAGCATCTTGAAACACAAACTTTGGAGAAAATGCAGGCCAGGAGCAAACATCCTGCCCTCTGAAAAGCAGCATGAATTCAGGAGCTGGTAAATAATGTTCATTAAACTTAAAAATTAAACTTGGATTGCCAGGCTTGTGACTCTCAAAGCATGAGCATTTTATCCATCATGAGAATCACAGTAATGTGATGTTATTTCCATAATTGCACTAAACTGGCTCTCATGCACTGCAGTGCCAGAAGTCTCACTCCAGTGAGCACTGTGTGCCTCATTGCCCTGCATTTTATTATGTCCAAACAGACTTTTTTGGCTTAATAAAACTGGATGAAAAGCTGCTCTAGGAATGCATTTCAATTGATTTTAAATCTGGCTTAAATCTGTTTATCCTAAACATATCCTTTACCTAATCAGGGGCTTGTGTCTGCAAAGAGCAGCTCCAGTTGGACTGAAGGAGTGAAGTTAAAACTGGGAAACAAGTGAAGGGGTCCTCAAATACCACCAAGGGTATTTCAGCTGTGTCAGTGGGAGTTGTCTCAAACTTCAGTGGGCTGACCTTGAGTGTCCTGAGAGCAGCCTGAGAGATGTGCTGTAACTAAATCCTTATTAAATTAACCCTTTTGTTATACTGGGGCTACTGGGGTAAACTCAGCTTTAGGCATTCCAGTGGGCCAAAAGCTGGGCTCTTGTTCAGCATGTTGTGCTGATGCCATCAGTGAAGGTGGATTCAGGTTTGTCTGGGGGTTGCCTCTTTTCTTTTAGCTCTGCTTTAGCATCACAGTTTGTCTTCAGAGGAGCAGGAATCAGGGCTTGATTAGAAGAGTTCATTGGGGTGTGTGCTTGTCAGAGTCCTGGCTGTGTTCCTGCCCTTCACCTTTTTACACCAGCAAAGTACTTTGCTTTGGACCCCATCTGAAGTCTAGACTCAGGTCCAGTCCCTCCCTCAATGAAGGAAGGAGTGCACATAAATTACTTGAAAAACTGAGAGGTTTCTCATCTCTGACCCCAAGGGTGGAACTGTCACACCCAAAGAAGAAGTGCCCCATCAGCAGAGCTCAGAGCTTGGAATGTCATGTCAAGCTGGGACAAAAGCTGACAGGTAAATAGAGCCAGGTTTTGGGTGGTGATGGGGCATGTGTGGGTGCAGTGATGTGCTGAGCTGACTGGCTGACAGCTTGGATGCTTCCTTGGCACCTCTTAATTGGCCCTTTGCACCTTATTTCAAAGAGGGCAGATACAGAAGATGGCAAACACCTACTTCAGAGCCATTAGGGTGTCCTGTGACAGCCAGGGTGAGGGTGTATGTGCTTACCACATCTCTCTCCCGAGGGGTGGGAAGGTGCTGATTTTAGGACCCATTCCCAGAATGTTTTCCCATGTTATGCAGGGAATCCACTCTGGTCCTCCACGTGTACTGTTCAGCTTGGAGAAGAGAAGGTTCCAGGGAGACCTGAGAGCCCCTTCCAGGGCCTAAAGGAGCTCCAAAAGGAGACTTGGGACCAGGACCTGGAGTGGCAGGACAAGAGGGAATGGCTTCCCACTGACAGAGGTCGGGGTTGGATGGGATATTGGGAAGAAATTCTTGGCTGTGAGGGTGGGCAGGCCCTGGCACAGGTTGCCCAGAGAAGCTGTGGCTGCCCCTGGATCCCTGGAAGTGTCCAAGGCCAGGCTGGACGGGGCTTGGAGCAACCTGGGCTGGTGGAAGGTGTCCCTGCCCATGGCAGGGAGTAGAATGAGAAGCTTTAAGGTCCCTTCCAACCCGAGACCATTCTGGGATTCTGTGATGTATCTGACCCATAAGAATGACATCCTATGAGACAGGGCCAGTCCCCCAGTCTGGGCTGCAGGTTCAGAGTTACAGTTTTCTGTGTTATTTCCTGTATTATAGGCTCGAGTGAAAAAGAGACTTCATACCTTGTGTGCACAGACCCAGAGCCTCTCTTCAGGCAGCACTGCCACCTAGCCTTCCAGCATGGCCAGCCAGGTTTAGGGAAGCCACAGTTTGTGTTGCAGCTTCTTGTGCCAGGCCAGAGCAGCAGCACCATCAGCAGCCACCCCTGTGCCAGTGAACTGAGCTTTCAGCTTAGGATCTGCAGCCAGGGCAGTGGAGCACAGCTCACCCCATATGCCATGCAGTGCAAGGGGAAGGCTGCACAAAGCATCTTCTCATCCGGGAACCAGTTTATTTCCAAGTTTATTTCCATATTTAATTTATATCCACAGCTCAGCCCAGCGTTCTGGTATCAGCCCCGAGGTCCCTGCAGCAGTCGCTGCCCTGAGTGTGACAGCGTCACAGAGTGGGCTCTGGCTGGGGTGGAGTGGGGAGGGGGCAGTGGCTGGAGGGGACTCAGGGAGGTTGCACAGTTTGGCTACTGGTTCACCTGCAAACCTGGCACCTTCTGGAGAGCCACTGGGTCTGTGCCACACACACAGAGCCATCACCAGGCACCTCCGCTTTCAGCAGCCTGCCCAAAAGGTGACCTGCTAGGGCAGACCTTGCCTGCAGCTGGGACATGGGGAGGACACATCCCAAGGTCACACAACTTGTCACTGATGGCAACAGCAGGAGCCCCAAGAACTCCATCCTGAGCTTGAGGAGCAGCGAGCTAAGGCAGTCCTGGTGTAGCACCCAGACCCATGTGCTGGAGGCAGCTCATCCTGCACTGCTGTTCCTCTTACCTTTACCCTCCTGCTCCTCCCATTTTCCTGAGGACTTTTCACTTCCAAAGGCCTTTCTAGATGGTTCTGCTCCTATGCCATGAGTTGCCTGTCTCTTCAATAGAGAACAGCTCTACCAAACCCTTCAGGCATGTCTGACCAGCACCAACCTGTTAACTGAGGGCACAGCAACAGCTGGCCCAGGCTGTATTTAACCAGGTGAGAAGGGGCTGCTGTGAACCTTGTCTGCTTTTCGCCCAGTCCTTCTGGGATCCTGGCCAGAAGCAGAAGACAGAGAAGAGCTGGCACGGGGAGCAGAGCCCTGGAGCCCCATCGGGGGTGCTGCAACATTTGCCCACAGTGACCCGGGCTGGGACAGAGCAGAGGCCCAGGATGCACCGTATCCGAGTCAGGGTCCCAGCACAGCACTGTAACCCCGCAGAGATCACAGGAGGGGTTGCTGCTGCCAGAAGATAAATCACCTGTGAAACCAAGGTCTGGCATGTGAGGTCTGCCCCCTCCTCCCTCCTTTTTTGCATTTTACTCATTCCTTGAGGCTCCCCCAGAGCCTGGATGAACAGGAACACAGGCATCCATCCCTCAGCTTTCCACACCAGTGAGTCTTGACCCTCCTGCACTGCTGATCTGGACACCCTGGGCCACACCAGGGAGCTCAGGAGCTCTCCTTGGCCCAGCTCTCTTCCCTGAGATGGGGTCCAAGCAGCTCCCTGTGGAGTCACGCTGGCCAGAGGACCCTCTGGAGCCCTCCTCGCTGCAGCCAGGCACCCTCACACGTCCACCACGCAGCTGGGCGAGTTTGTCCGGATGGCGTCGGAGATCATCTTGGCTCCCGACTGGCCGATGCGATTCCCCTGCAGGCTGGGGGCGAGGGCAAGAGGAGCTCAGGCTTGGACACCAGGCAGAGCAGGATCCTTGGTGGGCACGAGGGATGCTCCCCAGCTTTGCACCAGCATCACCTGCACCCTCCCCACCCCATCCAGAAGCTCTTCCTGTGACTCCGCTCCCAGGGGACTCTGGGTTTGAGAGCCTGAAGGCTGGGGCCAAGGTGAGGAGCAGGAGAAAGCCCCTGGGGGGAGCTGGAGGGGCTGAGCCACTTCTCCCCTGTGATATTTTGGAGAACATGTGGCTTTTGAGGTTGTTCTTTGCCACAGAGGCATCCCTAAAGAGGAGCTGGGGGATCTGGAGCTGTGTGGGTATTGTGGCTGTCATGCCTGGAGGAGCATGGGATGCCCCTGCCCTGTTGGGGAGGTCCCTGTGGGGCAGCCAGGAATGGGCAGTGCCAGTGGGAGAAAGTCCTGGATGGTTCCCATGGTGTCCCCCATCTCTGCCTTTACCACTTACTTGACGTAGGTGAGGCCGTGGTTGCCCCTCAGAGCGGTGGCGATGCAAATGGCTCCGTCCATGCCCAGGGAGTTCTCCTGCAGGCTGAGGAAGGCAGGAGGGTCAGGAAGCACCAGCCAGGGAGATGTGGCCGCCAGGAGGGAATGCGTGGCTTGGACATTGTGAAAAGCCACCCCACTCAGGGCTTTGCCCCACTGAGAACCATTGGCCTGGCCATTCCCTCGCTGCTGCCTCCAGGAAGGTGTGGAAAGGCTCTCCCTGGCTCTCCCCAGGCAGTGGATGCTTACTCGAGCCGGCGCAGGCTGCTGTTCACCCTCAGCGCGTTGGCCATGGCCTTGGCCCCTGCCACGCCGATGGAGTTTCCCCGCAAGCTGGGAAGAGAGGCAGGAGGTGAGGAAGGACAGCCTGGGATGACCCCAGGGGGGAGGAAGGGGAGAGGTGATCCCACACCAGCGAGTCAAGGGACGAGCAAGCCAAGTCTGGACGCGATGCAAGGATGGAGGTGGTGCTGAGGTAAGGACCAGGGTCTAGGACACCCCAGGGATCATCCCCCACAGCCATGGGGACTTGATGGCCCCACTGAGCACTTACTCCAGGATCTGCAGGCTCTTGTTGAACATCAGAGCTTCTGCCAGGGCTTGGGCACCAGCCGGCCCAACCGAAGCCATTTGCAGGCTGCAAGGGAACAGGGACCCTTCAGCACGTGTTGGGAGGTGGCCAAGGTGTGCTAATTGCACAAGCTAATTAGGCTGCAACACCAGGGCCCCAGGGCAGCCTGGATACTCACTGGAGATCTGCCAGGGTTGTGTTGACCTTCAGTGCCGCAGAGAGGGCGGCCGTTCCCTCGTCTCCGATGGCATTTTCCTGCAAGCTGAGACACCCCAGTGCTGCGTCTGCCCGTGGCCTGTGCACCCAGGAGCAGGGAGAGGGGCAGCGAAGCACAGGGCACAGCGTGCCCAGCGTTCCCAAAGGGCTTGGGGGACCCCAGGCCACCAGGCACTTGGAGCAGGCCCAGACAGGCACGGGCAGTGGTGACACAGCAGACTTGCAGTACCTAAAGGGGCTCTAAGAGACTTCTGACAGGGCCATGGAGTGCCAGGACAAGGGGGAACAGCTTCCCACATCCAGAGGGCAGGGTTAGACCCTGGCACAGGTTGCCCAGAGAAGCTGTGGCTGCCCCAGCTCTTGGAAGTGTCCAAGGCCAGGTTGAGATGGAGCTTGGAGCCTGATCTGGTGGAAGGTGTCCCTGCCCACGGCAGGGGGGTGGAATGAGATGATCTTCAAGGACCCTTCCAGTAGGAAAGTGCTGCCCAGGACCCATCTGCCT